CGTCTAACAGTGGTGCCTCGCATAACGAGCGCACCGTTTAACGATGAATTCGCATAGCGATCCATTTTTTGGGATCGCTAATGCGATTGCATACCAATGCCTAGATAGGCAAAAACTCGCTTTGCGACGATCGGTAAGCGTTTCGCTTACCGATCTTCGCATAGCGGTTTTTTAAAATCAGCTGATTGTGGGTTCCAAAATGGCCACCGGAAGACCCAAAATGACGAGCGCAGCGATTTTGTGCCCTGCCCTCGCTTACCGAGGGTGCGAAAATGCCTGCGCTATGGAGGAACATTGCATAACGGTGAGTTTTGGGCCCATTTGGAATGCATTAAACGAAGTTTAATGTGTTCCAATGGGCTTTTTTGTACCATATAGCGATGTTTCCCCATAGCGATGGTTAATCCAGAACGGATTAACCTCACTATGCGGGGCACCACTGTATTTGACTTAATGTAACCAGTTTCATCCTGCACCCCAGATCTCTTTTGATTTGTGAGCTTCCGCAAGGTTTCCTTAGATTGGGGCAGATAGTCCTGTAACAGGGGTGTTGAGTCCATTCCACTTCTGTAGGAGTCTTGGGAGAGGAGGTTGGTTTCTGAGGTTGGTTTGTGTCACTTGTCCTTCCAGGGACCTCCCTTCTTTGAATTGATGTACATTCTATGGGCTCTAGTCATTCCAAAGGTAAAGGTTCCCCTTGACAATTTTTGTCCAGTTGTGTTCGACTCTAGGGGGTGGTGCTCATCCCTGTTTCCAAGCCATAGAGCCGGCGCTTGTCCGAAGACAATCTTCTGTGGTCAAATGGCCAGTGCGACTTAGACATAGAACGCTGTTACCTTCCCACCGCGGTGGTCCCTATTTATCTACTTGCATTTGCATGCTTTCGAACCGCTAGGTTGGCGGGAGCCGGGACAAGCGACGGGAGCTCACTCCGTCGCGTGGATTCAATCTTACGACTGCTTGGTCTTCTGACCCTGCAGCACAGGCTTCTGTGGTTTAGCCCGCAGCGCCACCACGTCCCTTCAGTGCCGCCACGTCTTTCCAACTGAACCGCTATTCTCCCCCCCCCCCAGTTCTTATCCCTTGCCTCTCATGTTCTTCCCCATAAGCTTGGGAGAAGGCTTCCTTCTCTGCCTTCTTTCAGTTTCCTGTAAGGAGCGCTTTATCTTCACCCACTCCTGAGACCAGGGATCTTTCATCTCCAGCCACTTCCATCCTATTGGGATCTCCTGCTCTTCTTTGCTCTCCCTCTTTTCCTCCACCTCACAATCTGCCTCTTCCCTGCAATCAAGTCCCTCCTTTATTTCCTCCAATGCCACTGCCCCCTCTTCTTCCCCCATCATCATATACCTTTCAACTATTGGCTGATCCTTCCCAACTGTTACTTCCCTGCATTTTTCTTTCCTTTCTCTGTACCTCGCACCTTCATCTGGGCTCCTGCTTGTAATAGGGTGTAAATAGTCTCATAGCCATCTGTAGCAGACGATTGAGGGGATGGCTCACTGCCTTATGCTATGGCTGTGGGCTGCTTCTTCTCACAGACTACTATGCTTTCAGTGTGACTGTAATCAGTATCAATTCTTCCTGTTAGGACAAATGTTCATGTCTTCAGAATATGCAGTTGTACATGTAGAGGAGTCATTTGCAAGCTACAGATAATACAGGATGAATGAGTACATAGGCTTGTGTAATCTTTTATAGAGAAATGCCATACACAGAAGCTGGAAATGAAAGGAGAATATGTGAACCACTCATGCAACATTATTTGCTGTTTCTTACAAGTGAAGTAGTGTCAATTACTGTCTTGCTACATTGACTCAATGTACAGTAGAGGCAGTTACCTGTACCTGTACAGTATATGTATTTGCATCAGGCCAGTAAAGCTTTCTCACTTTCAAACAAAGCTTTCTTTGCTTTGTTGTCCTACAGAGTAATGTTTTCCACTGTGTAGTTGAAGGATATATTTTTAAAAAGCCACAACCATTTAACCCTTAATATTTACTTCTAAGTCTTCCATAAGAAGAGTAAGCTAGTTTGATTTCTTTCTACCTGATGTTTGTTTCTTCCACAGACAGTACTTATGCTATACTGTTGTTTCAAGTCAAAATTCTTGTACATCTAAAATTTTATTAAATTTAATGTGAAATTCATTAATTTACACCGAAGTTGTCTTAAGGAGTCAGTATGGTTTAGTAGGTAGTCTGTTTGGCTCAAGGTGGGAAATGTAGGTTAATAATCTTATTGGGTATCTCTGAAGAAGATGCTGTTTCAGCTTTATGTGGCAATTGCTGTGTTTCTCTGGAAATGGAAAATTGCTGCAGCAGTAGTTCTCATCCCAACTTTGTTTGTGCCGATGTTATTGTATTTCATCTCTCAGTATCCCTGACCACATTGACTGGGACAGTTATTAATTGGAGTTTAAAAGCATCTTAGGGATCCATGTTTGAGAACCATTGTGGTAGTAAAATACTGTAAATAGTAAAGGCTGAATTGACAGGGGAAAGGAGATGGGAATTTCCTCTTTTTATTACTATCATTCATTTTACTTGCAAACCATAGTTTGCTTGTTAATGTACTAGGAGTCAACATTTGTAAATGTACAGGATTGCTACTGCCAACACACACACACAAACACACACAGAGAGAGAGAGAGAGAGAGCTTCTCTTCCTCAGTGCTAAAAACTAAAGGGAGCTGCACATGTGTACTGCCAAGGACTTGGATTTATAATATATGCTTATTGGTTTTATTGTTTTTAAATTTGTAAACCGCTCAGAGTAGACCTTTGTTCTAGATGGGCAGGATAGAAATCTAATAAATAATTAAATAAATAAATGACATTAAGTGGCACTGAACATGTTGGAGCGGAAAGACTAAAAGGAAGCAAGTGGCTTAGCTTTGATCTGTGACCTAAGCCTTGGGGGCAGGGAGGGAAACTGAAAACCATGGAGCTTAAATATCTTCACTTTGCAGGATGTGGCAGTGAAAACTAGCCTTGGAGATTTTTTGTCCTTTCTACTGTATGTCTTCTCTCTATCGTTCCATACTTGGTGAATTCTAACATCTCTAATCTGTATATACTATCTCAAATTTGACAGATTTATGCTCCATGTTAACATGATTCTATCTTATCTCAGTGATTGCATATTTGGGACAAAATAATGTCTCTTTTGACAGGCAGGAGTCTGGCATGTTTTGTAGGATAAAATATCCTTTTTTGTTGCTTCCAGAGCTTTATTGGATCTGTGTTTTATATTTCAGTTTCTCAGTGACAGTATTCAGCTGAAAACTGAGCTTTCATTTATGTACTCAAAAGAAGCAGTATTCCTCGTAAATCATCTATGTCACACATGGAATATCTCACAAGTCATGTTAATCTAGATTTATAAGAAGATCAGGGTAAAATGGGGCATGTTGAATAGGGAGAGTGACAACATAAATGCATTTCTGTTTCTACAGCAAATAAAGTCAGACTTAAAGGGAAATATTACGGGGTTTGGCCAGTAACTATTTTTCTATTTATTACTGACATCTTTTTTAACAGGATACTAGAAATTGTATTACAGTCCTCTTCTGTGCTATAAGAATTTTAAAAATAGAATTTGTAATAGGTAATGTATTTCTTCCAAATGGAATAGTGATATTAGCTTAGTTAGTAATATATTAAAACTTAACCCCAGCCTGCAAAGAATCTTAGGTTCATTTTTCAGAAGGTATCTATGTTAGACTTAAATGCTGTTATATTTATTATGGTGCAATCTTCTGCAGAATAGTCACCTTCATCAGTAAAGGTGATGTAAACTCAACCTGGATGGTAGAAGAAATGGCCATGTAAGCTGTGTTGTCAAAATGAATGAAATTGTAGAAACTGAGACAGAAAGAATTACTTTAAAACTTTAAAAATTGTAGTTACTATCCATAAAGCAGTATTGATAAATATCCTGGCTTTAATTAGTTAACTCAGTAATATCAGTCTCAGCTACAGATGGCTTACTTGAACATCCTGACTTCCTGCACCAGTTTGCCAAACTGGATTCTCCAGAAGTTCCTCTGTTTGGCAGTAGCTATCTTAGGATCAGTAACACAGTACAGTATTGTGAGATACTGAAATGTTTAAAACTCATTGGGACTTATATCTGAGCAAACATGAATAGAATAGGGTCCGTAGTTCCAAACTGGATAGAAAATTGCTCAACCAAAAAGACCATTTCCCACTTGATAACTTCTGCTTCTTGATTTAAAGTTATACCTTAAACTTGAAAAGCGGAGCGTCTGTAAAATCTCCCAATAGAAAGGACTTTTTCAGATTTTCTCTAGTTTGCCTGTGTTAAAATAGGTAACTGAAATGAGCTCAGAATGTAGTGATCTTGTCATTACAAATGTGAATTAGGGTATAATTCTATGCTGATTTCCCTGGAAGTAAATCCTGTGGAATTCAATGGGCAGAATCCTGTTGGAATAACTTTACACTAGCGTGACCTGGATTGGCCACTGGAAACATTGAATTTGAACACATGGAAAGTTTCATATTCATTTCAGGTTCAAAGTGTCCCAAGGGCTCCCTAGGAAGAAGAAGCCTTTAGGAACCTTGGGACCCTTTGTGGGATAAAGGAGAAAACCTTCAAGAGTAAAATATTGCCACCACATCAGTGCTGACAATCCTGATCCCATCTGGCAGCCCTAATCCCAGCAGTGTTGATCCAACATCAGTTTTTACCAGGTTATATACAACAGGATTTTGCCCAATAATGCTTACTTTTGAGTAGACATCTTTGGGATTGCCTTGCTGGAGGATTATTGTCTTAAATATAGCTGCATCATTGATGGTGTAATTCCATACATGTCTACCAAGAGGTGATTCTCATGGAGTTTAACTGGATGTATTCTAAAGAAATTGTTATAGAATTTCATCTTTAGAGGCTTAACAGTAGAAGTGCTAAAGTCAGTGCATGTACACTGTTTGAGTACATTCATTGTCTAACTGTTTATTCTCTCTGTTTAGGATCCTTCAGTTACACAAGTGACAAGAAATATTCCTCCAGGATTAGATGAGTACAATCCTTTCTCAGATTCCAGAACAGTAAGCATCCTTATCTTTCTCTTAAATAACCATGTGAGAGTTTGAGTTCATTTTAATGTTATTAATTAAACTTGCCTGAGTTACAATCATTCATGTTTGTAAAAGAATGGTTTAGCTGCTCATGAAAATGTGATAGTCTGATTACATGAATGGCTGCTGTAGAAACATCAGAAGATAGATAATTGAATACTAGTAAGACTGGAGCACGTCGGTATCACCTATAAAGATATGGTACTTAGGAGAGTGGGGTAAAGGAAATAAACCAAACTCTAGCCCAGTGGAAAAGAAAGGGAAAGAAGGATGAATGTTCAGATGAACAGCTGTGGGGTAGTCACACATGAGGGAGATTTAGAGAATAAAAGGGAATGGAATTTTCCTTCCACCTTCTGATTTTTTTTACAACTCTGATTTTTTAAAAGTCCTATTCTGCCTTGACATGGTCTGGATTGACAGTATTGCTGTCCTTTCAAGATTGGAAATCAGCTCATTTCTTCTTAAGCACAGCTTCTAAGTAGACATATCTACCTGCATTGAAAAGCTTAATGGTGCACCTGACCAATCTCTGGCTTTAAGCTATGAAGAGCTTTAAAAGTATGTTATTGGTCCTCAGAATGGACTGGATCCAGTGCAGCTGGAATGTCTTATTATAGTTATGACTGTACTACCCAGCCCAAGTTAGTAATCTAAACACATTCTGCACTGAGAGCAGTTTTTGGTGGTAGTCCCGTAATAAAGCATTTTAATAATTTCCTAACGTGGAGATTATTAGAGTATATGTAATGGAGGCAAGAGAGTATGTTGCCATTTACTTAAAGTACAACCACGGTGGATTAAAATTGATTTAAACAAATAAAACTGTATTATTAAATTTTATGTCAGATTTTAAAATTTAAATCAGATTTTTTAATTTTAATAAATTGTATTTTAATGAAATGCTTTTGGAGGAATAATCTGTCTAAATATAGTTTTCTATTTAAAATACATTATAGTTCAAAGGTTATTCAGCACGGAATAGAGCTTAGTTATGTAGTATGAGGCTGTATATTCATGCAATATTTACATTTTGGTAAATTAATTCAATTAATCCAAGTTATCCAAGCTGAGATAACATGCACTTTTTGCACAGTAGAAATACACAAAGTTCAAGAAAAGATCTTAATCCCATGGTTGTTCTGCAAATCTATCTACAGACAATGAATGCATTACCTTAAATGCTAGGTTTGAAGTTTGTCTGGAGTGAAATACATCTGTACCAGGCTCTAACTGTGAGGAGGTAGGGGCAAGCAGCAAAAATGAAAGTGAAACTTTCTGAGCAGTTTACAAACCTTGCATCATTGAGCAGGTAGCTTGAAGGGTTTTTTTTAAAGATATTTTATTTAACCACTTCAGTTAATAAACATTGATGTTCAAGCAAATACAAGAACATGTAAGCTATATCATGTTATTGTTTTAATTAAATAAAAGAATTTTAAGTAATTCTCCAAATATGAGTGATTAACCTATTAAACTAAAGTTCTTATATAGCTATTTTACTAATCTGACAGGTTATTATTCTAAATATGAAATCTTTATCTGGTTGCAAATATTAAAGATTGTAACTACCAGGAAGAATGAATCTTTACATTTAAAAATCATGGTTTAAATCGAGTCTTACTGATTAGTGATTTAAATCACTAGTGATTTTTAAATGTAAATTTAAACTTGATTTAAATCAAATCCATCCTGAGTACAACAAATGAAAGGTGAAATAAAAGTTGTTTAATTGCCTCAGGTACAGTATATTTTTCTAGGATTATAATGCAAAGTATGTTGTTTGGTTAAATATATGGGATACATTTAAAGTATCTTTTGGTTCTTATGTGGGGAAAATATATACATTCACTTGATCTTTATTTGCCTGCAGCTCAGGTGTGTGATATTATGTGTCTCTCTAACTTTTACTAAAACATCTCTTTTGTGTTAATTGTGCCAGTTATGTCTTTTCACAGTGGCTCTTATTTCTACTTGTAAAAAGCCTACTTTTTTTTTTTCTTTTAAGCATGCAGTAAGCTTACAGGTTCTTCATTCTCAGAGAAAATCTTGGGGGTACTTGTTCTGGAATTGTTAATTGCATTTCCTAACATAAACCATTTTTGGACACCCCTTCTTGTATATAGAGTGGCCTGTCTTTTGAACAGTTCATCAGCATTGCTGCATCTTGCACCAGACATTTGTTCCTGAGAACTGCAGATAAACTGTTCAGATTAGACACATTTATTGATATATTCGCATATACTGCATAATGACTCCAGATCTGTCATAGGTGAAACCAGCTGGATGTTTGTGAAGTGATCGTGCAATTATCACGTACAATTATCTGCATGTGACTTTGACATAGTTTTCTTCAATACCGTAGCTATTAGCCCTTAATTACTGTATGGACCTTACATTGGGTTTCATTAATTTTAATTTCATATATTATATATTGTTTTAGAAAGTATTTTCTACTGCTTTGCTGCCAAATAAGAGAGACCATGCCAACAGACAATCTAAAAAAGACATGACAAAAAAGGGAGGGAGAAGGTCTTTGCCTGGCACCTAAAGGATGTAAAGGGAAGGGGGAGTGGAACAAGAAGTCCACATCACTCTCTGCTACAGTTTGCTGGAGTGCATGTTAATAGTGACAGTGAGTTGAGACAGAAACCTGCGGTGAATCAGTCCTATTTTGATATTTAAATTGTTTATATGTGATTTTTGAAATCATAGTATAAATAAGGGGCGGTTTTCCATTCTACTTTGTAAACTTCAGAATGTTTCTGGAGAGAAATACCTTTTTAGAAGAAGAAAGCTTCTTAGAAGAAATATTTTTGGAAGAAATAAAGAAATATTGTGACAATTGGGACTTGCACTTAAATTTTCTTCTGTTCTGAATTTCAGTCAGCTCCATCCTCTTCCAGAACAGTCTATCCCATTGCCCATTTCACCTGGCTTTTGTTTATTCATCAGTCCATGTCAACATGGGTATTAAGCCTGTTCAATCCTCATTAAGACTATCCCTACACCCTTGGGGTTTTTCAAAATATTCTTTGCAAAAAGCTTGCTGTTACATTCTTGTTTGTAGATGGGTATTGTTTTGATGAAACAAGAACAGGCACTCAAGTCTGAACTTTAGAACTAGAGGAGATGATGCCTTTGTCACCTCTGTGATGTAAGTCAGTGCAACTTCTGCCCCTCCCCAGAAAAAAAGCATTCAATACATTCAATACATCTTACAATATTTCACTTTTTCCTGGAGCTAACCACCTTTGTATTTGTCTGAATTTTAAGGTATATTCATAGAAAATGAGAACACCAAGACTGCATGATTTAGTTCATTAAACTAATATTATTTTAGCTGATCAGCTGGGCAGGGTGTTTTTAAAAATCAGTTTTTACTACTTTCTAAACCACTTAATTGCACACACTATTGTGCAAGCATTCTCACTTCTTTTTCATGTAGGAGAAAATGCTTCTTTGTAGAAGGGTGGAACAAAGAAAATAAAATAAAAGCCAAAATTCTCGCTCAGAAAATACAAGTTTATTGCCTGAAATATCCCCAATAATTTTCAGGTAGCAATATTTTTCTGAGTAACAAGAGTAATTTTTCTGAGTAACAAGAAAATGCTATTAAGGGTTTGGTCCTATGGTCTCTGTGAGTTTATTCTAACAGCATATGCTGGAGCAGATCTTCTTTCTTCCATAGAGAGGGGGGCACTTGAAGAAGAATGCTTTATGAGCATATCATCCCTTTCTTGCAATGGGAAAATGGGGCAGAGTTAGACCCTTTCCATTGTGTTAGTCCCAGCATTAAGAAGGAGCAAAATATGGCAGACCAGGGCTGGTATATATATTGTCCATTTGACTGCTTCCACTCTCCACTTCTCCAGTCTATCATAGATTCTCTCTCCCCTGTCCTCTTTAGATTGATCTATGAGATGTTACTGGTGCTGAAATATAATCAGTAATCTAACAATAATAAAGGTAAGGGTTTATTTAAAAATCTGTGAGAAACCTGTGAAATAATCCATAATCTTGTCTTTATGGTCTAAAAGTATGCTATTTTTAAATACAGTATGCTGATGTGATTGGAAGATTAATTTGCTAATGCTTGCATAATTTAGTGACCAAGATCTCTCTAATTTGAGATCCCTGATAAATACCAGTAGTAGGATAGCCTGCTAGGGCACTGCTGTTAGAACATTTTCACTCACTGGTGTTGATATATCTCAGTTATTCTCACACCATATCTCACCAATTAGTATAGATTTAAAATGTACAGTTTTCATTAGGCCTGTGCAGTCATTTGTCTGCAGTCTCCAAAGACATGTTGGTGTGCAAGCCCCACCCCAACATCCCTTTATTGTTAATACAGCTTTGAAAGAAGTTTAGCAAGACTAAATGTGCACAAATCTCTAGAGAATTGAAGCAAAAGAGATGGTCTTGCGTATGTATTCCTGCATCTCCTCAACACTTCTATCTTGTTCATGTGGCAAACACTTGCATTGTTGTATTGTGTTCATGAGATGTTCAAAAGAGAAGATTAATAAGAATACAGTCTTTTGCAGAAGTACAACACTTTTAATTCACATAGATAACTCATGTGAAAAAGAAATTTGCTTTAATCTTAGAAAAAGGTTATTTATTTATTTTATTTTATTTAATTTCTATGCCGCCCAATCTACCCAGAGGTCTCTGGGCGGCTCACAACAATTATGTGCAATAGTGTGTATCTAGCATTTTGGTAATTGATATTACCATAAATTTATCAAGTTTAAATGGGAAGAACAATTTTTAAAAATCTATTTGGTTTGTGCTGATTAATCTTCTGAATGGCTCTTCTGTTGGTGTAACTCAAGTAATAACTAATTGGGCAGTGTGTATCTTCCTGTGATGTTCTTGAGATACAGATGCTGCTTTCTTCATCTTCACAGCTATGTCTTAGCAGCTGGAGTCTATTTCCATAGTTTGAGCTATGGAACTGCCTCACAAGTGTGTGTCTGCATGTGCTCACAAAATATGCTAGGAGGAGAATTATGGTCTCTTTAGTATGCTAATTAATGCAGGCAAATGATCTCAATTCTTTCAGTTTCTCTGCTGAGATATTTTAAGTAAACACTGTTGAATGAGCTCTGAAACCTAATATCTTTTTAATCCAAGTGATCATGTTGATATGTATTAAGTACTAAATTTTATGTTCAGTGCTTGAAACATCATGCCACACTTGGTATTGGTCTTCATTGTTGAAATAGATTGATTCAGACAGTTCCCCCCCTCCAGAAAATAATAAAATATTGTTTTGCTGAGGATTATTGTTTATTCATGGCTTGGTTATCTTGACTATTGTTTCTTTATAGTCTACTAAAATCAACCAAAAATAGAATTTGTGATTAAAGATTCAAATTAGAAAGATCATCATCTGCTGTTAAAATATATTAGGAACCAGAGTCAATAACTATACAGAGACAATACAGTTTTTGTACTAAGCTTTGTACATATGGTGGTCTCGATCTAATGATGCCTTTCCACAGGCAGAAGTGCGGTTTGTCACTAAGCAGATAAAAGACTCAAAATCCAGAGGTGTTTTCCTGCTTATGAAATGCCTGTAATGTGCCTGTACACAGTTCTATTCTCAGTTTTTTTTTTCAGTGTCCTAAGAATGCAGCCTGTATTATGCAGCGTTCTTGCTGACATTGTGCAGGATTAGGTGTGGTCTAGGCCTAGATGGCAGACTATCTTTTCCATAATGACAGAAAAGTAGGATATACATGTGGTGAGTGAATAAACAGTATAGGACACAGATATGCAATTATGCTCCACTCCAAGATATGTTTTGCTAACTTTTCATGGAAAAGTTCTTAGAATGACACTATTGCAGTTTCTTCTTTTTCTTCCATTAACAATTCTTTGGGACTTAGCAGTTATCAGGTTAATATAAAAATCTGAATGTCTTGTATATAGGATGGGATCCCAAGAACTATTTTAAGTGTCCTTGCATAAATACAAGCTGTTGACTGATAAAATGTTGATCTTGAATGACAGCCTCACATCCTACCACAGTCTTTTTGAAATTCCTTACAGTTCGAAAAAAAGGTTTCTGTGCCCCTGATTTCAAGAAATTAAATTTAAAGTATAAATATTAGGATCTTCCTTTGCTCACAGGAGGAAGTGGCTTGGCTCAGACATAACAGGGTAACTAATTATGGTTTGTTGGCACACGGACAAATGGGCTTGAGCACCCGCTCTTATTTCTCCTTCTACACTTTTGGTTTCCTTAATCACAGTTTCCTGTAATGTTCAAAGTGAGAAACTGGCTAGAATCCTGCTGGGGGATGTACAGTGGTACAGATGTATAAATTGTGAAAGGAAAATGCCTCACATTCTTAGTTGTGCAATAAGTCACAAGACCACAAATATGAGTGGCAACTCATTAATTTGCAGCAGCTCATTGCTCTGATTTATGTGATTACACTTAACACTGGTATACATCCCATTTAGATTCAAGCCACTATGATTTAAAGGCTGCCTACAGACTGTGTTCAATTCAGATCCTGATTTGCAGGCAGTGCTTAAACAACAGTTTCCATCTGCATGTATTAAGGAAAAATTGATTTCAGCCAGGAAGGCTTTTCTGCATCCAAGCATATAAGAGGAGCCAAGAAGAATAGCACCTTTCGCATCAGAATTATAGTAAAACAACCTTTGTTAGTTTTGCCCTTTATGCTTGTACTAGATCCATGTCTCCCCTATGGTACCTGCCATAAATAAATTGTTTGTCTTAATTCCCTCCCCCATGCTGAACTATTCTGTCTGCATGAACATTTATGCAGCTTTGTTTAATGGATTTATATTCAGGTGACAATTAAAGTAAAATATCTGTGGGCCTTGTACAGCACTTTCCATATTGAAATTAGGCCTTGGCAATATGAGTGCACGTGGTAATTAGAATGGACTGGATCCAGCTAAATAGGTATGGCATTGGTGCTAGGCCGGATTTGACTTAAATCACAATTTAATTTTTTTAGAAACTGATTTTTTTACAATTAAAATAAAAATAATTTAAAAAATTAAAATAGTGATTTAAATCAATTTCATTTTAAAAAAAACTCATTTATTTTTATCAACCTGTTTGGTGCAATTTGTGGGGCCAGTTGCATAGAGATCTCAAGCAACCCTATTTGATCTGCAACAGCCTGCAGTCAATTCAGTATTGTGAAGTGATTTAAGAAGAGAGCCACTTCTTGATATTGGCAAATGAAATACTTCCTCAGCTCTGTGGAGGGGCCAAGGAAGTGAAAAAAAAGTTTGTATTAGACCAGCAAATATGCACTGCATTACTTAAAAACAGTATTAGATATGTGAACTATAGGTTAAGTATGTGTACTAGTATGTGTATTAGGTATACCTACCTAATACTCTTACCTAACTTGTAGGACACATACTTCATGCTGTTTTTAAAGCAATGCAGTGCATATTTGTTGCTTTAATATACACTTAATTCCCTCCCCCACTTCTTCAACCCCTTCACAGAGTCAAGGAATTTGCCAATATTGTGAAGTGCCCTTCTTCACAATACTTGCAAATTAAAGGAGGAAGACTCACTTTGGTTCATTTTCAGTGATCACACACATTGGAAACAGACCAAAACAGAGCAATCCTACCTGCACCAAAAAAGTAGAAGTCACTGATATGGGCCAGAAAGGTACAAGTAGGACCACTGGGGGTGGAGCTGGTTTGCTCCATCAAAGACTGGAGCAAACCAGCCCATCCCTGAAACAGACCTAATAGAGGGCTTAATGCCTATGTAGTCAACCTCATTGTTTGCATTGTGTAGCTGTCCTACTTTTGCACTTTATGTAATATAAAATGTACAGAGTTGACTGTGTAGCTAATTGTACAAATGCATTTTGTCCATCTTGCACTTTTTTATGTTTTGTAATTATCGCAGAACTCTCCAGGAGCTTCTCTAGAATGATTCTCTTTGTTGTCCCCTTTCAATAGCCTCCACCAGGAACTGTAAAAATTCCCAATGTGCCCAGTACACAGCCAGCTATAATGAAACCAACGGAGGAACCACCCGCTTATACTCAAATTGCAAAGGTACATTTAATATTATTTGTATCAGATTCTCAACATGTGAAGTTGAATTCCTTTTGGTTTTGCCTCAGTTGTTGCTTATTTCTCAATTTCTTTTCCCCCAGGAACATGCTTTGGCCCAAGCTGAACTACTTAAGCGTCAGGAAGAATTAGAAAGAAAAGCGGCTGAACTAGATCGCAGGGAAAGAGAGATGCAGAGTCTCAGCCAGCAGGGAGGTATGCCTTAACATTCTTTGAAAAGATAATAGGTTTCAGTTCTAAAATAAAAAACCCAACATAAATGTAGGAGTGGAAAGAGCTTAATTAAAGGCCTTCATTATGAATAAATTAATTTCTGAAAGTTGAGGCTGCTACCAGTCTTCCCTTAAAAACAAATCATAAATTCAATTTCTGCAGTTCTGATAATGTCTGTTTGTATTTGAAACTCCAAGATTCAAATGTGCAGTTCTTGTGGTGAAGGTATAAGTAATTATGGCTCTGAATTCTCAGTAGCAGCATTACACCCATAGTCTTTCATGTGCATCACTGCTTCCATAAAGAGGCACAAAATGCTTTCCAAGAAAAACAGGCATCTTTCCTAACTTACCGTATTTGCCGGTGTGCAAGATGACTTTTTGGCCCTGAAAAACATGCCTCCAAGTGGAGGGGGGTCGTCTTGTACGCCAGGTGCACTTCAACACCAACAGCCCAGAGCGGGTATATCTGCGCGCCCCTGACAGGCGGCGGGTCCCAGCATCATTTACAGAGTCTAGGAGGGAGCTCCCCCGAGTCAAAGCCCAGGCAGAGCTCCACAAATATTCCCAACTCCCTGCAGGCATAATTCACGGAGCTGGTTTTCGAAAGTATCTCTCCCCACTTCGTCTCGTCTCTCCGGTTTGTCTTGCTGGTCTTCCAAAGGGAAAGAAAGTCACCCTGGCACCAGAGTCCTCCAGGCAACAAACGGAGGCAGCACTTCTCTGGTTTGTCTCGCTGGTCTTCCGGAGGGAAAGAGAGTCGCCCTGGCAGCAGAGTCCTCCAGGCAACAAATGAAGGCAGCACTTCAGAGCGTTTCAGACACTTTGAAACAGACACCTCACAACCCCAGACACCTTAGCACCTCACGACCCCAGACACCTTAGCTCGCAAACGAACAGGCAGGTTGAAGAAAAGAGACACAGGGCACAGGGCAAACGCCAAAAGAATTGAAAAAAGGAAAAAAAATGTCCAGTAGTCAAACCCCTATCATGGCACCAGCAAAAAGAAAGAAATATGGTGCAAGTTTTAAACTTAAAGTTGTAAACTTTGCCATGGAACATAATAATTGTGCTGCTGCAAGACAATATGGAGTAACAGAAAAGATGATTCGGGACTGGAAATCAAATGAAAAAGCATTACAGAGTATGCCAAGGGGTAAGTGTGCATTAAGAAGAGGCACCCCACATTGGCCAGAACTTGAAAAACATGTAGCAGACATGGTGGATCAGCATCGCCAAAATGGTTATGTGGTGACACGAAATACAATACACTTGTTTGCACTTCAGTGGGCCAAATCTAACTCAGAATACAGCAACAATTTTAAGGCCATTATATCCTGGTGTAGTAGATTCATGGCAAGGCATGACCTGGTACTAAGGCAAAAGACAAAAATTGCCCAAAAATTACCTGCAGATCTGGTTAACAAAGTGGATAGTTTCCATCGATACGTAATACAACAGCGCACTAAACATGGCTTTACGTTAAGTGATATTGGAAATATGGATGAAACTCTAATGAATTTTGATATGATTGAAAATAAAACTCCATCAAAAAGGTGAAAAAACTATTTTGATAAAAACAACAGGACACGAGAAGTCAAGTTTTACAGTGGTACTAGCATGCGCAGCTGATGGCAACAAACTGAAACCTATGATTATTTTTAAAAGGAAAACAATGCCAAAACTCAAGTTCCCTGCTGTTGTTTTGTGCACGTGCATGAAAAAGGCTGGATGAATGAGGAGGGTGTGAAACTATGGCTGGATAATGTATGGAGCAGACAACCAGGTGGTCTACTTCATAAACGTAGTCTACTTGTGTGGGATATGTTCAGGGCTCATACAACTCTCACCACCAAGGAAAGGCTTGCGAGAATAAAAACAGATGCAGCAGTTATTCCTGCAGGATTGACATCATTGGTACAGCCCCTGGATGTGTGCCTAAACAAGCCGTTTAAAGATCGCATTCGAGAACAGTGGAATGAATGGATGGTTAGTGGCGAAAAGTCATACACAAAAGGAGGAAACATGCGTGCTCCAAAGTTGGATGTTTTGTGCCAATTTGTCATAAAAGCCTGGAATGATGTTGATGCACAAACAGTAATCAAGTCTTTCAAGAAGTGTGGCATATTAAATTCATTAGATGGTATGGAGGATGAGTACTTGTGGCAAGATGAAGAGGAAGCTGAACCTGATGCCACATCATCTGACACGGAATTACCGGTAGATCCATACGATGACTGCCTTGCAACTGTATCCCAAGACGTCATTGATGAACTTTTAAAATCAGATGATGAATAGGAATTTGAAGGCTTTTAAAATGAGTTTGGAGGCTTTTAAAATTTGTTATCTGTTGCATAGGTTACATTTTAAAATCAATTGCCCTTTAAAAAAAAACTGGAATGGTTGAATAGGTAGTATCCTGTGAATGGAGAGTTCCTGGTCACATAGTATTATACACATTTGGAGTTAGGTGTAGGAAAATGTGCACAGTATTATTGCAGAAATTGCAATAATTTCCATTTTTACTTTATCAAAAGATTGTCCATTCTTCCTGGAGAGACTGGTGTTGCACCTCTTCTCTATTACCTCTGCCTCCCCAATCTCTCTGAGACCCCATACTCCAAAATTACCCCCTCTCCTTGATCATGCTGCACCAGACTGTTCACAAACTTCACCAACACTCCCCTTCCCTAGTTTATCTCCCAGCCAGTCAAAACAATTTTACCAACATTCTTTGTTCCTCATTTACCTCCTCCAGTCACATACATACCAAACTGTACAAACAATACAAATAATTTTGAACACAACTGTACATACCAAACTGTACAAACAATACGTTTAAATGCAACTAGGCATTACAACTAGGTTGTAAATCTTTGAAGGAAAGACTGTGTGGTTTTTATGTACGTGGCACAGTTTCACATACTAAATATTCACTGTTTTCTTGATGATTGAAAGCTAATTTTCGTTTTCACTGGAACAGTGAAACAGTTAGAGGGGCTCTTTTCAGACTGAGGCTGTATTCCCTCCTGGGAATTGCATGGCAGCACTGGCTAGAGACCAGGGGCACCCGATACATTCCCCAACATGTGTATGTGTATATCCATTTATATCTATATCTATGTATGGCTGTATTTGTTCACATACACCATTCGCGTTCTACATTCATCTATACAGTTCACTCTCCTTCTGTTCCCATCTGCCTCTCTGCTCACCAGCAGAGGCTTCTAAAAAATGTAATGGTTGCACATGGTCTGGCGTGGTAAAGATGGTGGCCACAGCAAGTCATGTGCCCCCATACACTGCAGTTGAGCCTTTAAGAAACTTAATAGCTGCATGGGAGGTGAGGCTGCATTGAACGGCTGTATGCCAGAGGTACTTCATCCACAATTTAATGTCTGTCCTTAGTAAACTTCTTCTTAGAAGTGGCAAATGAAAGCCAATGGTCACCATTTTCTGGATCCAGGTTTGTAATCTTCCTTAGCAGTGTCTCAGGGTTGTTGTATCTAATACATTGTTCCTACTTGGAGATAATCTTTTTAGGAAGTTGTGTGCATAATGTAGTGGCATGCAGTCTGTATAAGCAGGAGAAGATTGATAAGAATTTCTGCATATGTGACAAAAATGAAATGTGTGAAGTAACCCTTGTGACATAGCAAATATTTTACTTAAATTTTTACAGGAAGAAAAAATAATTGGCCTCCGCTACCAGGAAATTTCCCAGTTGGTCCCTGTTTTTACCAAGATTTCTCCGTAGACATCCCAGTAGAGTTCCAGAAGACTGTAAAGATTATGTATTATTTGTGGATGTGTAAGTAAGCTTTTCAGCATTTGTACAATGAGGAAGTTGATACTAAATTTACATAACATCTGTTCTTGGTCACTATTAGAAAGTAGTTTCCCATATGCTTTGTGACTAAAGAAAATGTTTAAGGTAATGCAGATGTACAGGCATTTGGGGTTGTGTATGTGTAATCCAGTTGTTTCAGAGAGAGAGAGAGATAGATAATGGTCATTGAACACATAGCAAAATATTTTTCTCTTTCTTAGTTCTCACTCAGGTGAGTAAACCTAGATGCACATGCATGCCATCATGTACTCCTTTGCAAAAGTGAATCATCACACCAGTGATTACCTAGCTGATGCAAAATAATAATAATTGCACTTTCCCTGACCATTCACAAATGAACAGGGGAAGTGTTCGATTTCTGATCAAACAGCTTAGAAGCCACTTCAGGATGTTGGAAATTTGACATCGGAAGGAGCTGCAAGTTTCTAGTTTAGTCTCTTTCAAGTGACCAGACTAAACCAAAATAGCAGAACCACTTGACAGGTTCAAAAAAAGTGTTGGCTGGGGCAAATTGGTCTGTTTCAGTGACACCCACATGTAGACACTGGAAAAAGAGCAGACCTACCCATCAGCACACGAAAGAGCAGGACAAATGCCCCTGTGATGATAGTCAAAATTCTCTTTGTATAAATTTATGTGATGAGAGCTGATGACATCATCAGCTTTTGTTGGTAAAATTGTATTTATATTAATTAAAAGTTTCTTAGGTGTTGAAGGTCTCTGGGGAAGCCTTTGGGAGCCTTGAGATGGAGAGGAGAGTCTTTCAATGCCAAAAATTATTGCTACATTTTTATCTTTTTTTATTTTTTTATTTTTTTTGCAAAAATAAAAAAGGAAGAGATTCTGAATTTGTTTGCAGTGGACAGGATTTCCCTTTTTGTCTCTAGGAAGCTGCACTTTTCTGTTAGTACAGGGGAGAAGAATTTCCTCTGTTCTCCTACCTATTGCAGCCAACTGTGTCTCTGAAACATGTTCTGGAGGAAGTTTAGGGGACCCTCTGTTGGAGATGGCACCGGGAGTTGCAGAATGAGAAAGAATTGGTGATTATTTCTGACCTTCCCCATTTCACTTTGGCAGGAGCGTTCAGAGCAGAACCATACTTCTGAACAGCATTTCTGCCACTGAAGTTAAGTGCTAGATCCAACTCTGAATGCCTATTATATGTGTATTTTTAAAATAGGGAGATTGATATACTCTTAAGTAAGAGAAATCACACAGTGTTTTAATTCAATAGCCCCAACCCATTGTTTATGTTGCATATAAGGCTTTTCATTTTACCTTTTCCATCAGAAGCCTCTCAGAACACTCCCTCTCCTGAGAGGTGTGAGGCCCATAAGACAACAGGAACTCTGGCAGTAAATATACGGTATCCTGTGTCCATTCAGTGAAGCTTGTTGGGGTCTGTGTCCTTGCTAAGATCGTCAGTAGTTTTGAGAGAGTGGTGGCATTTGTTTTTCAGGGACATCTGGTGTAAGGGCCTAATGATTCAAATTCCCATCTAAATATTGCTTTGGTGTCTTTTATAAACTTCAGATAATAGTTTTACTAGATGCTGTTAAAGGATTGGTGGTACAGATTGGATATTAAATTTCTTTTAAAATAAAAATATTTGTAAAAATATTTATTGGAACTGACAATTCTATTCTAACATGCCTCTGTTCTTACAGTCCATGCAGTGACACTGTTTCTTAACATTTTTGGATGTCTGGCCTGGTTTTGCCTTGACCCAAAGCGGGGAGTTGACTTTGGACTGAGTATTCTCTGGTTCTTGCTTTTTACTCCTTGCTCATTTGTCTGCTGGTACAGGCCACTTTATGGAGCTTTCAGGTAACTATTTCAGTCTAGTGTGGAATAATGCTTTTGAAGTGCTACATAATTTAATGCTTTTTAATATTCTAGGACTTCATTCAGCTTGGTTTTTCATCCTGTAATAGGAATTTCAGGATCATGTGCTGGTTTCATAGCACAGATTAACAGTATCAGCTTCTTACAAATACAGCTACGTTGCTGCTCTATGTTAAAAATTGAAAGGCGGGTTTGCTAGCAGAATGTGTAAGGTGCTTTAAAACTTAAATTCTATGTTCTTTTTTTTTAAGTCAAGTTTTTTTTAATATGAAAGGTTGTATTAATGACATACATGCAGTATTCGTTTTACTATTTTCACCAAGGTAAAGTAGCTGTTGGCCTAATTCCTTGCATTTATGCCATTCAGTTCTGAAGGTGCAGCCTTAAATATGTGCATAATACTCATAGAAATAAGATAATCCTTGAAAAAAAAATGAAAGACTCCCTGAGGTTAATTTTGGAATTTAGTCCTTCAAGGGAGCCACCTAGAGGGGACACTTTTGCTTATGAGTAGCTTTTCTTATTTTTTCTTTTTTGAGGAGGGGTCTGCTTGCTGTCTTTCAGTCCTCTATTTAAATTACTCAATCTTCTCCCCCTCCCCCTCCCCTGCTCTTGGTTTCCAAGAAATAAACTTTCAACATACAGTATTTTTCCGTGTAAAAGATGAGTGCTTTTTCCTAAAATTGTCAAGAGTAAAAATTGAAGGTTGTATTTTACACAGAAGTAAGCCAAGATGAAAACAGCACGGTTGCGAAACTACCTATGTCTCTGCAAACCATCTGCCTCCAGTCACGAGTGAAACTGCCAATAGCTTGTCTCTGCAAACAGGCTTCATTCAATCACAAGCCTTTATACAAATGATGTAAACTGAGGCTGACTGTGTAGGCCAGCAATGGCGAACCTATGGCATGTGTGCCATAGCTGACATGCAGAGCCTTCTCTGTCAGCACGCAAGCCATAAGTCACCAGATCGCTGCGCCCAGCAGCTGAACCTGAGAAGGCAGCTGCTGCCACAGTACTAGTGCCCCAGTGGGTGGTGGGCCAGGATCTGGAGCAGCTGGTACTGGCTGCGGTGGGCCGGCAGTGTTCCTAACGGCTGAGCTATAGACAGTGGTACAGTTGGGCTCAACTGGAAGCGGATCTGGAGTGGGGTCCCCGTGCCCAGGATTCTCCCCTCCGCTTCTGCCGCCCCCCGGTCCCTGTCCTCCCCCCCCAGTTTGGGCACTCGGGCTCAGCTATCACTGGTGTAGGCAGTGTGACAGTGACCAGTAGGGGTGGTGCATAATATCATAGTACTGGCATGTAAATGTTGCCTAATTACTAAATAAAAATGTGTTCCTTTCTAATGTTTAAAATACTGATTTCTGAATTTTGAGTTAGAAAATTGGGGGTATCTTATACATGGAAAATACAGTAGTTTTGTCTGTCTTTAGAGTCTAGTTGTACTGTTAAACTCAGTGTCAAGATGCAGGGTCCCTTTGCCTGACTAATGGGGGACCCAGGCTCTTTTTATGAATTCTGAGCTTTCCTTCACACAGCTGCACTTCTAAATGTTGTTTTTAAGCATTAGTCTTTCTGAAACAAAGGGAAAAATAAATTTCAAAGTGATCTGTAAGATCATAGATGTTAGTTGGGACGTAAATATGTTTATAATCCTTGTTTAAATTATCTGTAAGGCAGATTTTGCGATGGAGAGGAAAACGCTAACGCTACTAATACTCAGAATGTCATTAAGTTTGTTTAGGTGCTATTTTCAGTTTGTGCCTTTTTTGTGTTGTATATTATTTCTGAGTATTGACATTTCAGAGGTGGCGGCTTTTCTTACACTGTTTAATTATTGTCCAACTGGATTGAGAGTTCAGGTTTGGAAATATTTTTCTAGAAAGTGGGCAGCTATAAACAAACTATTTGTGTTTATCATTTTGTATATTTTTCGCATGATTATGCTTGCTGAAAATTCTGTTGATTATCTGTGCTGGTGTTTGACAGTTATTCTAACAAAACTTTGGTTTTTCTCTTTCAGGAGTGACAGTTCTTTCAGATTTTTTGTTTTCTTCTTTGTGTACATTTGTCAGTTTGCTGTACATGTACTTCAGGCAGCAGGATTCCAGGGATGGGGCAACTGGTAAGTCACCTTCTGTATCATTCAGAAGAACATAAATATGCCACCTTTATAAAGGTGCAGCAGCACACTGAGAAGAACATGCTTTGGAATATTTTGTGACATTTTGGAACATTTTCTGACAGAATTGCAAGGGTGCCAATATTTTTGGCCATAACTGTAAGTAGATGAATTCTTGCATAGAATTCAGAAGGTATTCACTCCATGCTGTATTGTACCTTCTGGAATTACTAATTATCTAACCCAGGCTTCCCAATTGATTCCATATCTCATTCTGTGGAGGCTTCTTCTGTTGATCTCAGACATAACTTATGGGTGCAGAATCCAAGATAAATTTGGGAAGAGATCATAAAGAAAACATTTTTTTCCTCGAGGATGCTAAACTTTATGATGTGTAGATAAGAATTTCCACAAGACTATGCAAGAAACAGTTGAAGGCATTTTAAAGATTATTTCATAGTACAGTGGGGTCTTGACTTGAGAACTTAATCCGTATTGGAAGGTGGTTTTCAAGTCAAAAAGTTCTCAGGTCAAATCTGCATTTCCCATAGGAATGCATTGAAAACCATTTGATCCGTATCTGCTCTTTTCCGTCCATAGAAACTAATGGGAAGCTGCTATTCCACCTTTGACCACTAGAGGGGGATATTTTGTTTCTTTTTTTCTTAGGTCAAGGCCTTCGACCACTAGAGGGGGATATTTTGTTTCTTTTTTTCTTAGGTCAAGAAAGGTTCAGGGAAGGCAGGGAAAATACAGTCCAGGCAGTACCAGGCAGTCTGAAGACTGTCTCCCAATCCACTCTCTAAACGCTGGGAGGAGTGAGGAAGCAGACAGGCACCCTTTTCACTGGCCAACAGTTAACTGAAAGTTCAAATTTTGCACTTTCCCTGCCTCCCACGTGGGTTTTTTCAGTTCTTAACTCAAATCTAAGTATGTAAGTCAAGTCAATATTTTCCTATGAGAGTGGTTCTTAAGTCAAAATGTTCTTAACTCGAGCCGTTCTTAAGTCAAGACCCCACTGTAGGTTCCATGTTGCCTGAAAATGTGTAAAGCAGTGTTCAAAGGGTAGTCTTGATGTGGGGACCAGGGTAACCCCTGGCTCTCACTTATATATGCAGTGGAATTGCTCACTGACCCAGTTCTAGGCAAGACTCTTTAAGAGGATGGAAACGATCACTGAACAACTTGTCCAGTGCTTCTCCTTCTCTTGGTCTTCTATTTTTGTTATTGTTGTTGTTGTTTGGAGGGTAATTGTCATTTAAAGCACAAACAGCTGATTCTGTTTATGTACTTGGCAGCATGTCTAGAAATAGCTCTTAATTGGAAGAGTGGCAAAAAATTGTCACTAAAGAAATGGAGAGGGTAGCTCTGGACTATATCACTGGTGGGGAAATTAACACAATGAATGAAATGCTCAAGAACTCCTCAAGCTCATGACTCATTCCTGTAACAAGGTTTGCAAATAGCCACAGTGATTGATACAGTATTTTCCACTCTCCTCCCAGGCACTTCTAAGGAATGATAGGTTTCACTAATATCTTTCCTTGTGTTAAGCTTCTGTTTTGATGTACATCACTTTTTAAATTTAACTCTTACGTACCACACATTTGGCAACATATTATTTTGATATATGTATGTTTTTAAGCTGGCATAATGTTATCATCATGTATTTTACAGTGGCCAGTATCCTGTTTGTGCCAGTGTAACAAAAAGTTACACAGTAGTGCAATTTCCTATGTACAGCATCAACATCCATGTTGGAACATTGCTGATCATGGAAATACTGTAAGTGCAATCAGCTTGATAATGGCTGTGCAGATCTTTGTGCTGAACACACAATAGTCTTTCAAGATGGGGAAATAGGGGAGGGCTTATACATGTGTCCCCATCATCACCACATTGAATCTATATGCTTGCAAGCTGAATGCTTGCCCCTTCGCTGGGCATTTTCAAAGGCCAACTGAAAACCTGGCTATTCAGGCAAGCCTTCCCTGTAGCCACTCTTGATAATGCTCTCACCTTGAGTTTTCGTCTATTGATATATTATTTGTTCTATATTTTAAATGGTTTATGTTATATGTTGTTAGCTGCCCAGAGTAGTCAGTTGACTAAATGGGTGGAGTACAAATTCAATGAATAAATACGTTTCAAATGCACTGCTTTAAAGAAGCCCATCATCCTATAGATTATAGTAGAGGTGGTCAATTCAGAGCTTTCCAAATCATGTGGTGCTGCAGCTTCCATCATCCTTCGCCACTGAGTATACAGTGGGGTCTTGACTTGAGAACTTAATCTGTATTGGAAGGCGGTTCTCAAGTCAAAAAGTTCTCAGGTCAAATCTGCATTTCCCATAGGAATGCACTGAGAACCATTTGATCCGTATCTGCTCTTTTCCGTCCATAGAAACTAATGGGAAGCTGCTATTCTGCCTTCGACCACTAGAGGGGGATATTTTGTTTCTTTTTTTCTTAGGTCAAGAAAGGTTCAGGGAAGGCAGGGAAAATACAGTCCAGGCAGTACCAGGCAGTCTGAAGACTGTCTCCCAATCCACTCTCTAAACGCTGGGAGGAGTGAGGAAGCAGACAGGCACCCTTTTCACTGGCCAACAGTTAACTGAAAGTTCAAATTTTGCACTTTCCCTGCCTCCCACGTGGGTTTTTTCAGTTCTTAACTCAAATCTAAGTATGTAAGTCAAGTCAATATTTTCCTATGAGAGTGGTTCTTAAGTCAAAATGTTCTTAACTCGAGCTCTTAAGTCAAGACCCCACTGTAGGTTCAGTACATTTCTTCTGGACTGAAGCTGCTTTCTTAAACATGTGCTCTGGATTTCATATATTAGCAAGAATTTTAACCATGCTGGGTGTTGGACTATGAGTTTGAGAAAATGCATATGGCTAAGGCAGGTTATTCGTACTTAATGCTTTATTTTTGTCTTACTGTTTTTGATTTCTCCAGCAGTTTTCAGTTATAGCATCTGATACTTTGGGAAATCAGTAGTATGCTCTAGGGGCCTATACAAACAATACTTTATTTAGTTGCCAACATATATTGTTATGGATCCCCATGGAAGCATGTGCAAATGGTTCAGACAGGGAAACTGCATGCTAATAGGCTCCTGGAAAGGATTTTTACAAATATTTGTTGGACTTGCTGGTAAAAACAAATCCTTTCTCAGCACCAGTCACAGAATGACTGTTTTTAATGGCATGTCATCATGGAACAACTATATTTGTTGGCACCTAGAAACGTTTGAGTCAGAATTTAGTAGTTTCCTACATCATGGACAGAGATTTACTTCTGAATGTGGTATTTAAAATATTCTGGTAATACTTTATCTGTTCCACATTTACATTGGGGCTTAGATAATACAGTGGAACCTCGACTTACAGACGGCTCCACTTACAGGCTTTTTGAGTTACAGACTTCTCTGGTCGCAAAATTTAGGTTTGACTTGCAACCGGAGAATCGACCTACAGACCGGGGGGGGGGGGAACCCCAAAATGGAATAAAAACGGCTGGTTACAGATTAATTGGCTTTCAATGCATTGTAGGTCAACGGAGCCTCAACCTACAGACTTTTCGACCGGCAACCACCATTCCAGTACGGATTAATTCCGTAAATCGAGGGTCCATTGTAACGATTTCAACCATTTCCAGCCCAGTTAAAGTAAATGTGCAAGGAGTATAGTACACTAACCCCATCCCTTTCATTGCTCCTTTCCTCATATGGTGAACAGTTGTCCAAAGAAAAGGAGAAGCTCCACTGTGCCCAGGGACTCTCTGTGGCCAGAGCAGCTTCTCCTCTTCAGATTGTTTTTCTCCATGTCTGGGACCAGTGCTTTATGCTGCTCCTATATTTACTTAACTGGAATATACAATATCTGAACACGAGCTAACGTCTTATTTACAGATGACAGATTTGGTATAAGTTCTGTTGGGACATTTGAACCACTATTTTAGGTACTCACAGGTTGCAGTAGGCATTTGAAGTAAACCTGTTGCAGGTGATTTGCACACTTTAGATTTTATTTCTGACGAAAGGCCTATGAATGCAGCTCTTCATCTGACTTCAGAGCACAAGGACCATCTGTTATGGCAATACAGTGGTGCCTCGCTTAGCGACGTTAATCCGTTCCGGAAAAAACATTGCTAAGTGATTTCATCCCTAAGCGAAATTAATAAGCCCATAGAAACCCATTAAAATGTAATTAATGTGTTCCTATGGGCTTAAAACCTCACCTTTAAGCGAAAATCCTCCATAGCGCCATCATTTTCGCTGCCTCTTAAGCGAGGAAAAACAGCGGGCAGCCATTTTGAAACCACCAATCAGCTGTTAAAAAAGGGTGGCTTTGCCATGATCGCTTCCCCGCGATCATCGCAAAGCAGAAAAAACCCATAGGGACCAACGCAAAGTGATCGCTTTTGCGATCGCAAAAACTCCGTTGCTAAGCGATTTCGTCACTCAACGGAGCGATCGCTATGCGAGGCACCACTGTATTATGTGCTTCCATATAATGCTCTGTGTTTGCAGTAGTATTCTGTATGTGCGAAACTGTGGTTAATCAAGTGGCAGCGTAACTTAAATGTACAGCATTTTAGGTTTGTCAACATGCAGCACAATTTCTGAAGCACAAAGTGCAGTTTTACTTTTATACGATTTTAACATAAATTGCAAACTTCAGAACATAGCAAAAGAGTAAGCTTTGTTAATGATTATCTCATCTCTAACCCACTTGCCTCCATTTTGAAAACATGCAGGCACTGTCACTTTTTAAAAGAGTAAACTTGTATTTTAAATGTTCTAAAGCCCCCATTGTAGCTTTCTTAAATTGCTAAGCTTTCTGTTGAGGAACTAAAGAAAAGGAACAATAGCTGTGGTTCTACAAACGATGCCATTTTAGACTATGCATATACAGTATAATGACATATATGTATACATATGCATATTAGAGAATTGTCCCTTCTTCTTCTTTTTCTTTAGTGGATGGATTTCATCTCTTACTGGACTTAACTCTAATATCCCAGTGGGCATCATAATGATAATCATAGCAGCACTTTTCACAGCATCTGCAGTAATCTCACTAGTTATGTTTAAAAAGGTAAGTAAGAAAGCAGTTGTGGCTTTGCTATGCTCACTCATCACTTGCTATGCTGTCTATGATTGATGGTGAAAAAAACATCCACAGAGCATCTGCCCACCCTCCCAGAATCCTCCAACCACCAGTGTGATTTCAAATAATTCCAAATTAATGTAATTAGTTGTAGGTAAGATATAGATCTAGTTTTCTAAGACTTTAAGATTTAGTGGCTGTGGAAATTATTAGATGACTGGAATGCAGTGAAGAACTTGAGAGCATTTGCATAATACAGTTGTATAACGAGAGTAAACCTGTATATTTAGGAGATGTTAAATATATCCAACGTTATCAGGAAGTTTGAGCAACATGAGTGTTTATGTTCTTAAATCCTAGTTATTTCAATGCAGCACAGGCACAATTAACTTTATTTTAAAGTTTAATTGGAGCTGAAAAAGCACTATGAGTAATATCCAGAAAATGGGCAAGCTGGAGTTTCTGTTCCTTTGAATTCCCCCACGTTCATATTATGGGGCAAATAATTTTTGACACACGCCCTCGTATTGGGAGTTAGATTGATTGATTTTATTGCATATTACACATGCAAAAATGTAAAACATAATATACCCTGAAGAGTGAAGAAAAATCTGGTTGCCAATTACCGTATTTTTCGCTCTATAAGACGCACCTTTCCATAAGACGCACCGATTTTTTAGGAGAAGAAAACAGGAAAATATAATCTGTTTTCTTCGCTCCATAAGATGCACAGACTTTCCACCCCCCTGTTTTGTGGGAAAAAAGTGAGTCTTATGGTGCAAAAAATACAGTATATCCATATCTTCTCTAAGAAATGTCTTAACCTTTAATATTATGCTCTGAATTCAGTTACTTAGTCCTAGTTGCCAAATAGTCAACACATACACAAATTTTGTTGATTCAACAGCTGCACTGCAGTTAGGACTACCAAGTGAATTCATGCCTGTGGAATAAAAATTATCAATAGACAAGCAGAAATAAACATAACAAATATGCACCCCAAATAGCCTACAATGATATACATTGTTCTAATAGCAATAAGCTGCTAATAACGGCATAGGGGTTTTTCATTTGGGAAAAAAGAGTTTGAAAGACCTGGGCATGAACAAATTGTATCTTAGTATCTTATGCTTTCCAAGGGACTCTAAATGTTTTTTTTTAAAAGAAAAAAATGTAAATATTTAAGGGGGAGTTATGGTGGGCAAAAATGTTAAATGAATGAAATCTGATTGCTTATAAGCAAAGAGGAATTCCTATCAGGATAGCTGATAAAAGATCAGCTTCTACTTCTTCCCATAAACTGAATTATTCAAGCCACTGTTGGTGAAATTGTTTTTGTGGCTTTTTTGGTAACCACTAGGGGTCACACGTCACATATACTGTAGTGAATAACTATTACAGAGTTCAAATCAGAGACTATGTAGAGAGCTACAGTAGTTCAATAAAAAGAAATGTGGTTCCCTTCTATTTTGGGGGAAGATATTCCAGATTCTTTGGCTGTGTAGGGCTGACCTCTTATTTGGTTTGGGGTGATGAAAAATCTGTACAATTTAATTTTTTTTAAAATATAATTGCTCGGCCTTTCAGGACGTGATCCAACTCCATGAGCCTGATATGACAGATTTAGAGAATTGACATAAGGAGGTACAGGGTTTAAGCATGTTTAAGAATTTTTGTGAGCTCTTTAGTGGATTCCATCTCAAGAATCCAGATCTTTACAGATTATCAGGAGTGTTTTGAATTTTGCATGACTGTATTAAGCTATTGTTTGATATAGATTGCTGCTGCTTTATTTAACTGATGTGATGTATCTCTGTATTTAGCAATTTATTATTTGGCTATTGTATATTTTTAATCTGGGGTGATCTTAAAATGTCTTGTGTACTTTCTATTTTTTTTTATTTTATGTTTATTAAAAATTAAAGATAAAAAAGGAATGAAGTTCAGCAAAACAAGGCAGGGAGGCAACCTTGTACTTTTCATAAAGTATTCTGAAATCCTAGCGTATACTGAGTATTGCTTTTGGAACTCAATAAGTTTAACAGATATGTTTTTACAACTTTGCATCTTTTGAATGTGCATTAAGGACTGTAATAAGTCCATCAATGAAAGCATTGGCTTTTTTTTTTTTTTTTTGAATGCAGGTTAGCAGTGCATTCCTCCACTTACATATGAGGCTTCTAAAGAAGGGTTGTGGTTTTTTGTGTGTGTGTGTCTCTCAAATTAGTAGTATGCTATTACCAGAATGGATGACATTAATAGTTTAAAGCGGAATAAAATATTATATTAATGAGAGATAAATATTCATGATGTTCGCGAAGGCTCATATTCATGAGTTCATGTTGTACACATTAACAAAGAGATGTGCTGAATTCTGAACTTAAGTGATTGGATGGGATTGTAAATTAAACGAACATTTACTCAATATATGCTCTAATATTTACTCAGAATGGGACTATAATGCTATGAGCAATGCATGGGATGCCAGCAAAAGTCATTACTTTGTCCCATACTTCCTTGTAAGCCATACAATCATTTAACCATTTTTATATATCATTGTATTATGAACTTCACTGTCCATGCCACTGGTAGTCAGTGAGGTGAGTCAAGGCCAGGAGGAGCAGAGTGCAATGACTGAGTCAGAGTGAGAGAGAACTCTATATGGAAATACCAGTTGCCTCAGCATCAGCATCCTGTGTCATGTACTGTATGCTTCCACCTGGGAGTCATTATATATAAACCAAATTAACACTATTATTTAACCATTTGGTTTAGTTGTAGAAGCAGTAGCCGTGTTAGTCTGTGCAAGCATTATAGGTGAAAACAAAATAAAAATAAAGAGTAAAAAAACAACGAAGCATGGTAGCTTTTTAATGTGAGCTTTCATGGACTTGTCCACAAAAGTTCTCATTCTGAAATATAAAGGTTTACCTTTAAAGGGCCACCATGTTTTTTGTTTGTTTTTGTTTTTTTTAACTCTATATTTTGATTTTATTTTCATCTGTTAGTTTCCTATCTTCAGAGTTGGGTACCTGGGGGAAAAATTCTGCTAAATATTATGTAAAATACAAATAATGTTGTTTTTTTAATCTGACAATATCTCTTCATTTCACTTTGTGTCCCCTTCAAAGGTTCATGGTTTGTACCGCACAACTGGAGCAAGTTTTGAGAAGGCCCAACAAGAATTTGCAACAGGTGTGATGTCCAACAAAACTGTACAAACTGCTGCAGCCAATGCTGCCTCCACAGCAGCGACTACTGCAGCTCAAAATGCTTTCAAGGGTAACCAAATATAGAGAGGGAAAATATGAAAATCACTACAGCTCTCTGGCTGTGTTTTATTTTCCAGTCACTTATATTTCCTAAAGACTTGTGTTAAAAATGCACATGCATGTATGTCTCTTCAGCTGTGCATGAGCTAAAACAAGAAAAAAAAATCTTTGTTTCATTCCTTTATACACATATTTATTCAGAAGTATCTCTGGCTACTACTCCAACTTAAAATGGTTCTAAGTATATTTTTCTCCATATTTTTGGTGAGAAAATTCAGGTGTAGATCTAAAATTGATATGACAGCTTCTGGGGTGAACTTTAATGGATTTAGGCGCTTTCTGGTCAAAAGCTCTCTCTAGAACTTTTCATTTTGACTTGAGAAAAGCACTTTGGATTAATGTGTTTTGTTCCTAGCACTTGCTTCCTGATTTTCTTATTTAAGAAACAGGGCAGCTGACAGTTTTGAATTTTGGCTGCTGCTTTGTTGCTTCAGCAGCTGATGAAGGGTAAATGTAAGCTTAAAATAAGTATGATAGGTAATGTAAATTCTTTTTTAGGATAATAGATCTTTTGATAAAATTATGAGTTTGCATGAAAGTTTTGACCATGCTGAGTTAGTGTTTTGGTTCAGAATTTGTCTCTACCATAATGGTTATAGTATGTGTTGGGAATTTGTTTTTTTCATGGTGTAAGGTGTTCTGTTTCAGAAATCTTGGAATAAAATTATTGCCATAAAAAAGGTATACAAGATGCATTGAAGAGAAGATTATTATGTCTAGTTAAATCCAGGTGGTTCTGTTTGCTATTATTCATTTCAGTATTTATGATTTGAGAAATCAAACTGCTGAACAGAACTTTTCAACCAATACTTTGAACACTCGGCTAGCTAGTTATTTTTGACCTTTGTTAAAAATGCAGTGGAATTTTTGTTGTGCTTCAGGATTCTTTCTGACCATTAAAAGTGTGCACTTGTGTTTACAATGGTACTGAATTTTAGCCTTGTCAAGTCACTCACTTTATTGTTCATTTAAACATCCAAAAACAAAATACTGTAATTTTTAACCACAATCTTAGTCTCTAATTAGGCTTTTCAAACTGACATTTAATTATGTACATTAAATCTTTTAACATGCTTCAGCCTTCATGTGACATTTAATCTGAATAAATGCATTTTATAAAATGCAATTTGCTGCTAAATTTTATAGTATTGACCCATATAAGTTACACAGTAGTTTCTAATTTTAATTCCTCTTCAATCAACTCTGAATCTTTCCTTTTAGCACAAGGTGACGTTTGTTCCATCTGACATTCTAAAGTATATGAATTTTTAGACGGCACTGCAGAACATACTTTGCATTAATTTTTCAAGTTGTATACCGTTTCTGTCATTAAAGGCTTCTAATTATAATAAATTGGATAGAACTATTTCAACATAGGACCTAATAATATATCTTGATCCCGCATTTACTTAGAAAATGATAATTCAGCATGTTTTAACACTTGGATTTGGGGTGTACTTGCATATCTTGAATTACAAACATTACCTTATAGGAGTAAACAATTAAGAAAAATGTGACAGCTTAATCACAGCAGTGAACGTTAGAAAATAATGTAAGAATTTTATTTTATGGTGTGTTTTCCGTTTATAAAGTAAGGAAAAGCATGACCATGGATGTAGTATTTATTCTTTGATCAGTACAACAGATTAATTATTTTTCACATTTTTATTTACATTTGTTTCAACCCTTGATCCTGCATCAATAGCTTTAGAGCATTTTTTTGTTAATTCCCTAAATTGTGTTGAGGGGAAAGCTGTATTTACATTTTTTAAAAAAAAAGAAAATGGTTTTTGAATAAAATTTTCTTCCTCAGGGGATAAAGCAGACTGAAACTTGAAATAGACAAATGCAGGGCTCATCTGCAATTGTATTCTAGATGTTTTGACCCAGTAAACAATCGGTAAAATGAAATGTTGACTATCATGTCTATTAAACTCGTAGAAAACAATATTTAAACAGACTGAAAGTATATATCAGTGCTAGGTCAAAAGCAGCGGAGTTAATCTTAATGTAGTCCTCAACATTTGATTGTTCATTTTGGAAGAAGGCTGTTGTATGTTAAATGTTTTAACACGTTAATGATATTAAAGAACGTCAGTAAGGAAATATATGCCCATTATTTAAGTCATTTTATAGATTGCAACTTTGGTTCAAAATGCAGAGAGTCAACACTTGGAAGTCAGTAGTCTGCGATCTATAATTTTGACACTAGAGTTGTTTATCTGAGGGCTATCTGTATATTTTGTAAATTAACAATGCTTTGTCATTCTGGTGAATGTCATGGTTCTGTACAAATGCACACAGATCCTCCGATGTTGCATGTCTGAGTAGTTCAAAGGTTCTGCATATTTATTGTATTAATTCAGTGACATAAAATGTTCTCTGATTATTTGCTCTGTATAGTTTTAAAAGATAGTTTTTTTTAAAAAAAAAGACAAGATAAAATGGAAATACACATTTGTCCCAGTCCAGCTGTAGTCCTATGTAGTTACACATAAGGAGAATATGGACCATTGAATGATAATACAGTGCAGACAGATGTCCGAAGTTGGATCTTTATTCAAACACAAGTGTCATTTGTTTGCATTGCATAACTTCAGACTGATGTGCAAATCTGTGTACATCGCCCATCCACATTCTGCCCTAATAGTCACATGTGACTATGCACGAAGGAACACGGTTCAAAGAGGTATGTGTATTTTTTGTTTTGTAATCTGTATATAAATTTGTAATCTTCTGCAGTGGGGAAAAATTGTCAGCTACCAGAACAACTTACTAATACAGTTTAGAACTAAGGTGGGTTTTACAAAATCACCCAGTAATAGATACAGTGTTTGACTCTGTGGTATAAATTGGAAACTTTAAAAAGAGAGTGATTTGTTGGTACTCATGATATCTGCAAGTATTTACATTTGTTCAGAAATTTGTTAGAAGTAAAGTGCTCTGAAAACAATTTTTTTGCTGTCTTTTATATTGGGATTATTTTGCTATGAAAGGACCAGTTTTGCTATATAAATATATACCATGCACAAGTCTCTGTATTTCTTTGCATAAATCCAGCAGCTCAATTACTAATAACAACCACAATCCAAAGAGATAGAGGACTAACTCTACATTTCAGATATAGTAATGAGCATTTTCCTTTTGTATTCCCAAAAAGCTGCCACAACACAATAAATGGCATCCATTTGTAAAGCTGTGCTCTATATGGGTTCAACAGGGCTAGATGCTAAAGAATGAGAAAAATCACAGATTCTGCTGAACAAGTACAGTAATAGCTGTGATGTGTATCTGGTAGTGGCTGGTGTATCTTCTGAAAGATTTATATACATAGCACAAGACTAAATTTTCTCTGCAATCAGTGACCTTACATAGCAATTATTTGCACAGCAGGGCAAGCATGTAACCTTGTCGTCTTCCATCTAGACATGGAATATTGTGCTCCACTGATTATCTGCTGTCACAAGCCACAAAACATAAATGGTAGTCTGTGGTGGGCTTAGTGTAGGTTACATGTTTCTGCACACTAGCATTCTGGAAGCTGACTCGGAATCTATGGACCTTCTGGTTAAACATCTGTTCACTTATCTCATGGATTCAATTTTGACATAGATTTGTATACTCGGTGTGGTGTAGTGCAACGGCCCCCAACCCATGGTCCGCGAGCCGGCAGCCGTCCGCGGCCCAGGCAGGACCAGGACCAGATCTCCTACCCCCTGCAAGTGTGTGCACAAGTGCACTCCACCCCCTGCAAGTCCGACATGCCCCCGTATGCATGCACATGAGACACCATGTCCCCTGGGAGCATGACATGCTCCAAGTGTGTGGGTGCGACACGCCCTGCCCCCAACCGGTCAGCAGTTGGGAAAAGGTTGCGGACCACTGGTGTAGTGGATAAAGTGACAAATTAGGATTCAGGAGCCCTGGGTTTGAATCCCTACTCGTCTATGGAAGGTTGTGCGGACTAGAATTGGTAGAGCTACTTAAAATACCTCAGTTATCTTGCAAGCCCTATTGGGGTTGCTATAAGTTGGTTTTGACTTGATGGCATATAACAGATTTGCATACAACAGAATTCTCAAAAGTATCTTATAATTTAAGAGGTACCACATTGGAAAATCCTCAGAAAGCATTCATAGGCTTCTTGTATTTGAATGGCATGCCTGACAACTTTCCCTTGTTGCAGTGTGCTCATGCTCCTAACATAGTCATCTGTGCACATATACACATGCAGTTCTGCAGTATCTGCCAATGCTCTCCACATGGTACTGTCAGCTGTGGTTGTTCACCTTCTGTGCTCTGGAGTTGCATCCAGGTTGCGTAAGGCTTAGCTATCAGGGCTTGGGGTATGTTAAAAAGGTAAAGGTTCCCCTTGACATTTTTAGTCCAGTTGTGTCCGACTCTAGGGAGCAGTGCTCATCCCGTTACTACAGCATATGTTACTACATCACAATTGAGTTCTAGGGCAAACTGCATAATTTTAGCTGATGGTCTGCAGAATGTCCCTGTTGGTTGATTTTTTCCCCAACAGTCATCAGAAAGGGAAGATTTAATTACTGTGGCTTTCAACTGGCTTGCATCATTTCCTGCAGGGATGCACAGAAGTCGTTCAATTAGCAACCATAAAAAGTACAAGTCCAATGATGCACCTGAGTACTGTTGGGCAGATTCAGGCAACCAAAATAAGCTTGGGTGGGGGCAGGGCTAAAAGGGAAGGCTTGCAACCCCCTTCCAAATGTGTCCCCTCACTGATTCTCAGGGTGCACTGCCTTACACAGAAAGAATATATCTAACTATACAGAATTGTTGTCTATCAAGAAAAATCCTAGATGTTCCTGGACGACTTTATTATGAGCAAAGACCATTATGAAGCAAAATGATACCACTCAATACAATCCTACCCTTGTGCTTGGTCAGAATTCGATGCCAGTCTCATTTATGTAGTTCCTTATCCTCTGTTTCTCAGAGAACCTGGACTGAATCAAGACTAGTGGGTGTTAGTATAATACCTATGCAAAATCAGAAATGATTTCTCATAAGGCTTCACAGATTGATAAATGTTTATTAGACAAAGAAAATACATTGTAGACAAATTAAATTAGCAGTTCAGCTTAACAGCAGTGTTCTTCACTGTGTTTATCAGACTGTAGCACATCAAAATCCCTCCCCTCCCCTCTATTATCTCTTATGCTGATGAGCTCATTAGTTGCTAAATGTCAAAATGCCCTTCACATTTTGAGTTCAGGCTATAAATAAATAAGCCTGGATTACCCATCATTTCATTATTGTTAATTCTGCCTTCTTTCCAAAGAAGGATTTTATAACATGTTTGGCACCTAATAAATGTTAAATAGCATAATGGTAGCTTTATTTGTCCATATAATGTCCATCATTCTTGTCCCTTTCAAACAGATGTATTTTCTAATCCTCTTGTGATTGCATATCTCACCCTCTACATGTATTTTTGTATCTTCTACCCTCTGGGAAAGAGCAGTGGAACATAATATGAATGTTTACGAAAGTGATTTGACCAATATTTGTTAAAGGTATCTTGTAAATTTGGTTATCTAGAACGCAGGTTTACAATACACCAGTCATTTCTTGACTTGATGAATATGTGTCAAGAAGCAGTCACATGAAATAGTACATCATTATGAAGGTGATGTACCATCTTCTAATTTTCTTTAGAAACAATTCAGAACTTTAAGTCACAAAATGTTATTTATTTGAAGAATTAATCAGAAGTATGGTAGATGGATTTATACATTTAGATGTGACCCATATGGATGGCTATAGAACTTATTTTCAAATTATCACGATGCTGGATTGATTGTAATCACTTTAAAAATGAACAAGTCATGTCATCTTATTTTTGGTACATTACTCCCCAATTCTGGAAACATGAGCTTGTTTCAGAGGTAGGATATCACAATGAAAAGAAGGATGTACTGTGTCCTATATTGACTGTACCAATGTTTGGTTATTGAAGTACTTATTTGCATAGGGTGTGGGACTGAAGCATCTATGAAGTTCAACATTTGCTGGTGTAAATGCAGAATTTTATTAGGGAAGTTTTCATGACCCCTGAGCTGTCCCACATAATACTGTGCCTATGTTTTTGTGGAAAGTAGTAGTATGGAAGAAATATTTGCCCCAGTGTCTACTTCACTAGGTAAGGACAGAGCCAGTACATTCCACTCACCTCTCTTTTAACCTTGTAAGGAGTACAGTGCTTAGACTGCAACAAGTTTGTTACATCTGGTGGTGACTCTAATGCAGACATAGTAAAGTAATATCTTAGTAAGGGATAAAATTCAACTGTTACTTTTAATACTAAGCTCTACCTGAACTACACTGCATCATGCCCTCCTACTGTCCTTTCAGTTCACTTTTTTGCCATAAAATCTCCCTTGATTACAAATTCTATAAGCTTGTTGTCCAAACATTTTAGAGTTACAGCTGTACCTCGACTTGAGAATGTCCCTACATAAGAACGATTCGAGTTAAGAATGGCTCCATTTGCAAAAAGTTGCTTCGACTTGAAAACGGAGCCTCAACTTAAGAAAAAACAAACAAACCTTTCCTGCCCTTTTTTTGACCTAAGTTCACCTTAGGTCACTGGTTCTTAACCTTGGGTTACTCAGGAGTTTTGGACTGCAACTCCCAGAAGCCTTCACCACCAGCTGTCCTGACTGGGGTTTCTGGGAGTTGCAGTTCAAAAGCATCCAAGTAACAAAGGTTAAGAACCACTGCCTTAGGTCAAAAGAAGAAGAAAAAATTCACCCCCTAGTGGTAGATACGGATTAACTGGCTTTGCATTGGTTCCTATGGGAACTAATGCTTCGACTTAAGAACAGCGACTCGACTTAAGAACGAAAAACAGCAGATATGGATTAAATGGTTTTCAATGCATTCCTATGGGAAATGGTGCTTCGACTTAAGAACACAGTTCCAATACAGATTAAGTTCTTAAGTCGAGGTTCCACTGTAGTAGATTAGATCCAGAATAATGTGCAGAAGACTGGTAAATGCTGCCTTCCCTGTTCTATTCCCTCCCCTGTACCTAACTCAAGATCCAAGGAGGCTTCTGCCCATCACCTGACTCATTTTATTCAGGTATACTGTGAATTAAAATACTGTTAATAATGAAACCAAGTATTACTGTAATAGTGGCCCAAGTTTTTGTTCCTCAGCATACATGTCATTCCTTTGTATTAGTATGCTGTCATACAGTTTAAAGATATCTTAATAAATTTAAGTCTGCAGAATTGACTAGTATGATTGAACAATGAAATTTGTGTATGAACGTACGTTTTAAGAGAAAAGAAACAATACTCTTTTTAGATTTGCATGCATCACAGCAGTCACGTCTGTGGTAATTTTCACTGAGGAAGGCTTTTATAGTGGTGCTTGTTTGTACTGGTTTATATTGATTGCATATATGTAATAAATGTAAATTTGCTGGTAAACTACTTGAGACAACTCAGTTTCTTTCTTTTTTTAATTGCTCTAACTGATTACTCAAACAGTGAAACACCATCCATTTTGGAATGCTGATCCAAAAGAAGAAGAAAAAGAAAGCAAGAAAGAAAAGGAAGTTGGAAAGGAGAGAAAATAAGTATGTAAAACAATATTTTACTGAGTCAACAAGTTACTTTTTAAAAGTGGTTTTCAGAGCACCCTGTACCTGGTCCATAAAAGCTATTGTCTCAAATGTTCTGTCTCTCTGAGCTGCTTCATACATTCATTTCTGATCTAGGAAAAAGTCTTGGGGTGCTGAGATTGTAATCAGAAGATGTTTAACTGAAATGCTCTAGTAATTCTGCTGGGGAAAGTTGGAAAACATGACATTCTCTCTAATGTAAACTGGAAATGAGAAAAGTGAAAAATACAAATTTCCTTATTTCCAAAAATGATCCCAAACAATTAAAACTCCTTAAATGAATGTGCCTGAAAAGGCAGTGTGGAGGTTAAGTTGGAAGGGCATCTTAAATGGAAGGGTTGTTTCTGGAAGAGGAAGGAACACAGAATCTTTTCTTGGTTCCAGTTCTGCTTCCCTTTCTAAACTGTTGTTATGAATAATCTCCTATATTCCTGGGATGGGGCAAAGAAAACGGGGAGATTTTGTTCAGAAAATGTACACATTTCAGCTGAAATAAAAGCACTCCTGGATCTCAGCTCTATTTACAGCAACACTCATATGGAACAGTTTCATGCAAACGTTTTCTCTGTGAAATCTGACAGAATCATATCCTATGATGATATAGGCATACATCTAATGGTAAACATCTGAATGTTTTGTTATTCTAACTTTCATATTTTAGTACAAGCAAGAACAATTAATTGTCTGACCATCAGGCCAAAAATAAGCATCAATATTGGTTGTTAGCCCTTTCCTATAGACCTTGGTGTGAGATTGTTAAGCACCTGGTAGAACAGAGTAGTAGGTTTCATTTTGGCTTGGAACACAAATTATTCTGCAGGCTTTGCGAAAAGCAGATGAGTTGTTTTTTGGGATCTCCTGGCTTCAGTGAGGTTGACTGTCTTGTTTGTTAAACTTTATCAACAATGTGGAAAGACTTACTTATTGCTCCATTTAATACCATGCTCCATGGTCTTCACTGTGTCTTAATACATCTTGGTATTTATCAAGTTGCAGGCATGTAATACAGCTTGTTTTTTCATCCTCTTATTGTGGGAATATCCACACAGTCTGAGCAACAGTAATAGTGTTAGCAGTAACAACAGTTTTGCAGAACTGATTTAACTTCTGCTAGCCAAGACAGACCCTTCACCAGCATTGCTGTTATGCAATGTATCAACATAGGCAGTAACGCCCTACAAAAACTGAATGTACATCATTCTGACTTGTTAATCAACAAGTGAAGTACTTATAGCAATGCTTAAAGAAGCAGCCATGCACAATAAACCTGAGTTAGAAGGTAGACACTGAATTACATTCCTTTTCACTCCAAACACTTTTATTTTTTTAGAAAATATACAAAAAATAAGTGGTTATCATTAGTGGTTTGCTATAGCATTTTACTAGCCTCCCAACTGCTGCCTTGACAACCAAATGGTATAATATAAAATATCAATGTTAATAAGGCTTGTCTAATACTTGAAAATCTGGATATTAGCCATTAGTTATCCCTTCATTTTTCTTATATATCCATCACTTCAGCATGCTGTTTTATTTTAATGTATGTGTTTTTCAAGTGTTGTTTTTGTTTTTCAAAATCACACATATTTACTTACTACCTAATGGGGAAGGATCACTAAACAATACTCTCGTCTCCATCTCCTTTAGATGTAATTGCAACTGTAAAAAGAATTTTCCAAACTATTAGAATGTAATGTTGTCTATTACTGCTGGATAGCTCAATGGTTTAGGTATCCGTCTTTGAAGCCAGAGGTTGGGAGTTCAATTCCCCACGGTGCCTCCTTGACCGCGGATGGTTTTGATGATCTTCAGGTTCCCAGCTCTGGAGTTTTAACATTATTATTAGGCAATACTGTGACTTCTTTATGCACATTATACCTCTGGCAAGATTAGCATAATGGCATTCTGTATCTGAAATTACAAAAGAGACAGTACCCTGTCAATACCAGTACTGGATTTGTTACTGTCCCTAAATGGGAAGGGCCTACCTTCCTCATGAAGGCCCATCTTTGGGGGCTGAATATTTTAGAATATGGCATAACCCTAAGACATTCCTTCATCTATATACATTTATACAGAGAAATCAATCACACAATGGATTCAAGTGCTCGGGCTATGAGAGCTAAAGTAATTTAGCTTAAATTCTGGCTATTTTCGTACATTGCTTTTTAAGGCTTGGACATAATTCCTGGGCAACATATTATTTGAACAAAAATCTCTTCCCCACTAAGTACAACTGGAATTCCTGATTGTTTGCTAGATTCATTCTTTCCATGTGCTGCTACATACAAAAGAAGCCATTGTGCTTTCTTCTCATTAAAATTAATTCTGCAAAACTGAGATGGAGGATGTTGCCACTTTTGGTGCTTAAAACCCTTGAACTTGAAGTCTGACTGGATTTTGTTCCATACACATTAAAGAGACACTGATATTTTTTTTAGAATCTTAGACTTCAAAAGATTCCTTCACAGTCCTTCCTGGCGATGAGCAGAAATTTGATGATTTCTTTATCTGCTAGGTGCCATTCTTCGAAACCTGAAGCCATCAGGTTTGCTTTATAGCAGTCAGCTAGTTGACATTTTCTTCTTTTGCTGCCCATAAAGTGACTCTTATCATGTTCTACCTCCAGAAGACTTGAACTCCCACTGTCTCTTATAGAAGTTCACTTTGTAAGCCACTCCACTTTGGAATCAGTTCTTATGAAACCTGGTTTTCTTGGACAATTAAAGGAGGCAGATAAGGCTTTTCCCCTCTTCAATTTCCTCCTGTACTTTGTCACTGGATGTAGCAATTTCAGCTTGGGCGGAGAAGACTGCACAGATGAATGTCAGGACGGTGCCACCAATGGCAGTATAGAAAGCCCATCCCAGAGAACAGTTACCAAGTTTATAAGCTGAAGCATAGGGTCCACAATAGCTTATTGCCTTCTGACAACCCCAGCCGGCAGGGTATAAGATCAAGCCTAGGATAAGGAAGAGACCTACAAAGAAAAACAACAGTTAGAACAAAACTGCAATAAACTATGTAAATCAAGCTGTGACAACAAAGAGGGAACCTATTCTCAGAAGGAGATCAAACACTGTCAAACATTTCAGCAAGAGAAAGAGTGCACATTGGTACTACTATGTCTTGGTGCAAGACAGAATTCAGAATAAGACAATAGATTCAAAAGCTGGCGCCCAAGGTTTTTGCAAGAAGAAACTGGAATGGTAATCTTGGTTCACAAACTTGCCATAGTATTGTTGGTTTGGTTTTTAAAATTCTGTTGCAAAGTTTGGATGAAGGCTCTATTATCTACAAATGATGGTAGTCCTAATGGATTGGACCAAAGTCAGTCTATTCAAACATTCTTTTTCCAGTGGCCAACCACATGCCCCAATGGGAATTTCACAAGCAGAAGACAAGAACACAGCTGCACTCCCTCACTCATTTTTTCTAGCAGCTGGTACTCCAAGGCATATTGTGTTCAACACTGGAAGTAACACACAATCACCATAACTGTTAGCCACAGCCTGTCTATAAGACTGGATCCTACAGTCTCCTGCAGGGTGGAGACCAAGCTTTTAAGCCTTTATGTGAGCTGCTATAGGATACTTCCCCCGACTCCCTTTTTCATAGCTCTATACTTTGGATAGGCCCACTGAGTGATACATTGGTCCCTGCTAAAATAAAAAAAAAACACCCAAACAACAATCTCCTCCCATTCCAAACAGCTTCAGTTTGAACACTTGCTTGCTTTAGTTTTTCCCTTTTTCTGCTTCAGGATGGGGACAACTAAAATGAGCAAAGGGCTAGACGAACTCCCTGGTGAGGTAAGATTATAACATTTGCTGCTCTACTGCTTAGGAAGAAATGTGAGTAGACATTTTAGAGTTGTAGAGTTACATAAAGGTAGGCATGGTGTGAAGAAAGGTGATAGAAGAACTCTTTCTCTCTTTCATAACAGTAGAGCCCAGGACCAATACATTGAACTGAATGATGGAACATTCAGGGCTGACAATAAGAAATACTGGCTGAAATCTTGTACAGTGGGGTCTCTACTTAAGAACGTCCCTACTTAAGAACAATCCAACTTAAGAACAGCTCCATTTGCTAAATTTTGCTTCTACTTGAGAACAGAAATCCAAGATAAGAACAGGAACAAAACAACTTTTCTTCTCTTT